ACCATGCCCAGCTAACTTTTTTGTATTTTTAGTAAAGACGGTGTTTCATCATGTTGGCTAGGCTGGTCTTGAACTCCTGACCTCAGGTGATCTGCCCGCCTCAGCCTCCCAAAGTGCTGGGATTACAGGTGTGAGACACTGTGCATGGCCAAGGAGACTCCTTTCTACTTATAAGCCTTCTGTATTATTTAAAAATTTTGAAAATACATTTGTGTGTGTGTGTGTGCGGTAAAACATACATAACAAACAACCTTTACCATTGCAACCATTGTTAAGTCTACAGTTCAGTAGCATTAAGTACATTCACATTGTGCAATCATCACTACCATCTATCCCCAGAGTTTGTTTCATTATTTGAAATTTGATTTTTTTTTTTTTTGAGACGTAGTCTCACCGTTGCCCAGGCTGGAGTGCAGTGGCGCGATCCTGGCTCACTGCAAGCTCCACCTCCTGGGTTCACACCATTCCCCTGCCTCAGCCTCCTGAGTAGGTGGGACTACAGGTGCCCACCCGGCTAATTTTGTTTTTGTATTTTTAGTAGAGACGGGGTTTCACTTATTAGCCAGGATGGTCTCAATCTCCTGACCTTGTGATCCACCTGGCTCGGTTTCCCAAAGTGCTGGGATTACAGGCGTGAGCCACCGCGCCCGGCCTTGTCTTTTTATTTGAGATGGAGTCTTGCTCTGTTGCCCAGGCTGGAGTGCAGTGGAGCTATCTCAGCTCACTGCAACCTCCACCTCCAACGTTCAAGTGATTCTCCTGCAATGTACTGCTCTACAGTTTCTGTTGTAATTCTTTTTTGTTCAGTTTCCTCCAGAATTTATTATTACAAAGATTTTTGAAATTATATGAACAATGATGAGAAACGTTGACAGAAAAAGATCAGATTGTTTTATACTAACAATGATAATGTCTTGCTCAATTAAAAAATTAACCCCATTGATCTTCATTTACTTTTTATCATCTTATTTTATTTTTAGAACCAAAATTGTTTAAAAACATTTTTTTTTAGGCTGGACATGGTGACTCACATCTGTAGTCCCAGCACTTTGGGAGGCTGAGGCAGGTGGATCACCTGAGGTCAGGAGTTTGAAACCAGCCCGGCCAACATGGTGAAACCCTGTCTCTATTAAAAATACAAAAAATTAGCCAGGCGTGGTGGCAGACACCTGTAATCCCAGCTACTGGGGAAGCTGAGGCAGGAGAATCACTTGAACCTGGGAGTCAGAGGCTACGGTGAGCCGAGATCAGGCCATTGCACTCTAACCTGGGCAACAAGAGTGAAACTCCATCTCAAAAAAAAAAAAAAAAATTTAAATTTAGCATGAACTAAAATCTATTTGCCATTCCTGGATAGGGCTTTAAACTTTGCTCCTCTTCTATTCTGGAAACCCAGGAATAGCAAATAGACAATGACCACAAATAGTTTTGTCCCAGAAACAAAGAATATTATTATATTCATTAGCATGAATCTAAACTGGATTGCTAAATTTGTTTCGTTTCCTATCCAGCCAAATAATTCTATATGCTTGATACTAGAGTAAGTAAAAGATGTATCTGAGACCCACTGAGTAGCTGCAAGGGGAAAAAAATTAATATACAGTAGAGAAATAGGACAACATCTTGACCAGATGATAAAAATTAACATCACCAATGAGATGCAGGTGGATAACACGTGCCATCATCAGATGTGATCTCCTTAGGACACAAAATCACTTATATAGTTTTCCATCAGGGAATGAATAACCTGCATCTTATCAAAAGTTAATAGGAGACAAATCCAAAATTGGGAACCATCTATTCAAAGAGGGGATGAGGGTGGGCACAGTGGCTCATGCCTGTAATCCCAGCACTTTGGGAGGCTGAGGCGGGTGGATCACAAGGTCAGGAGTTTGAGACCAGCCTGGCCAATATGGTGAAACCCCATCTCTACCAAAAATACAAAAATTAGCTGGGTGTGGTGGCATGTGCCTATAGTCCCAGCTACTCAGGAGGCGGAGGTTGCGATGAGCTGAGATCGCACCACTGCACTCCAGCCTGGGCAACAGAGTGACACTCTGTCCCAAAAAAAAAAAGGCTGAGGCAAGAGGATCACTTGAGGTCAGGACTTTGAGACAAGCGTGAGTAACACAGTGAGACCCTGTCTCTATAAAGAGATTTTTAAATATCAGTCAGGCATGGTGGCACATGA